TATTTTTTATGCTAAAAAGAGAAATAATATATATATAAATATATATATATATATATATATATATGTAACAATATGGATATAAAACTAATTTTAAAAGTTATAAATTAAAAAATTATATTTATTATATAAAATAGATGATGTATATTATTTCATTTTTTTTAAATTAATTTAAAAATTTATATCTTCCAATTGGGGTGTTTTCTAATATTTTGGATTTCTCTTTTTGTAGATATTTTTAAAAAATATTTTTCTTAAACCTAATATTATATATATATAACATTATATATAATTTTATATTTATTTATTTTAATTTTTTTTTTTTATATATTTGCATGTACTACTAACTTTATATATATATTTTTTTTTTTTTTGTTCCTTCTTTTTATACAACAATGAATATTATGTATATATATATATATATATATAGCAATGTAAAAAATTAATAATTTTATGGTTATTTTCTTTTTTTTTCTTTTTTTTCTTTTTTTTCTTTTTTTGGAGAGAGAGGTTCATTTTTTTTTTATTTCTTTATTCATTTTAATAAATAAACCAATGTGGACAATTTCCTTGTATTATCATTATAAAAATAGTAATAAAATAAAGGTATTTTTTTTTTTTTTCTTTTTGAAGTATACAATTCTTGTGTTGTTTTAGTTTCATGTGTCCACCTTTCGTGTGTTATTATTTAACGTTCATAATAAGAAAAGGTCAGAAATAGCAATCAAAAAAACATGTATTATATTAGTAATAATATATATTGAAAGGAAAAAAAAATAAAAATAAAATAATATATAAAATAATAAATTTTATATATTTTATGATGTTGTATAATTTTTTGTAGATAATTTCATATGATAAAATATTTCTCTTTTTAATCGTAATTTGTTCACATTTATTCAATAATATTATAAAAAAAAATAAAATAATAATAAAATGAAATTAATGATAAACGAAAATTCTATTTAATTATATATATATATATATATATATATGTCCAGTTGTATCATTGTATTATATATGTGTATATCTTTTAAAAAATATATATAAAAAGTTCACAAACATATTCTTTATATATATATATATTTTTAATTATGAAAAGTGTGAAGAGAAAAAAAATAAAATAAAAACACATAAAAAATTAAAATACATGAATTGTAAAATTTCTACAAATTTTCAAATTTGTCTGTAAAAATTTTTTTTTTTTTTTTTTTTTACAACTGCAACCAAAATATAAAAATTTATACCATTGCAATATTTTTAAGTATAATAAATTTACAACCCAATTTGATGTTCCTAAATTATTAATATATATATATATATATATACATATCTTTATATTTTATATATTTTCATAACAAATATGTACGTAATCTATTACTACTTTTTAATTTTATTCTTTATAAATTCCTGGAATCTATGCTTATCATCCGAAAACCAGAAAAAAACCAATGCTACTGTTCATAATACCACAAGAACGAATACATTAAAAAAAAATAATAGTAATAATAATGCAAATGATATATTTGGTTTAAGCCCTCATGAAGTACCAAATTTAATAGATGATGAAGAAGAAAATCAAAAAATTGAATCCGTCAAAAATGATTCTGATTTAACAAGATCAACTAACACATACACTTCTTCTACTATGGACCTTGATGATATAATTACAGAAATCTCAAAATTAAAAAAGAAAAAATTAAAAAAGGAAATGAAAAATAAATTGCAGCAACAAACAAATAAAAATAATAATAATAATAATACTATTCATCATAATAATGAAAATGAAATAGATACTACCTTCACAGAAAATATTAAAACAAATTCAAATGAGCTAAAAAACCAAGATTCATCAAATACTCTTAGTACTAATAGTATTAGTACTAATAGTAATGAAATAGATGAATTATTATTATACAATAGTGACTCAGAAGATGATTTAGATATTCCTTTTGGTGAGCTTCAATTATATAACAACAGTGATGAAGACACAAGTGATTATGAATATGTTAATGAAGATTATTACATAGATCATATTTTTTCAAACGATACAGAAGAATCATATAGTATATTAGAAGATATTGAAAATATATCATTATCATCAATTAATAAATATCAATATAGTCCTCCTATAGGACCATATAAAAAAAAAAATACAAATGTTTTTGAAAATTTTAAAATGATAAGAAATTATGACGAATTTCTTAAACACTACAATTTAAAAGATTCTTCAGGATATGAAGAAGATGAATATGAATTGTTACCAGGAGAACCTTTTAAACTTAATAGTTACTATTATAGAGATGCAAATTATGAAAATGTTAAAAAATATATATTAAAAGAAATTTATGAAAATATACAAAATATAAGCACAAAAAATAAAATAATTGTATTAGAAAAAGAGGAACTCTTTTATTATTTTATCAAAAGTTTATTAAGATATAATTTTATATGCTTATCCTATGAAGAAGAGGAGAATTTATTCAATGAATCTAAACTTTTACTAGAAGCTATGATATCCAAAAAAATACAATAAAATAAATAGGTTCATAATTATACTATAATTTTATTATTATTATTATGAATTAATAAACATGTGATTATATCAATATTATATAATACAAAAATTATATATATATATATATATATATACTTATTTATTTATATATTTAAATCGTATACACTTTAAAATAATAACAATATAATAATCCTGTAATTTTCCAGATCAAACACACTTATAAAGATAATATATAATTTTTAATGGACAAAATCCACCTTTCTATTATACAAAATAATTATATAAAATATATATAAGTATATTCTTTATCGTGTATTAACTTTAAAATTTTATTTCTAACATTATGTACTTTTATATTATATAATTAATGATGTATATTATATATTTCATGTATGTATTAAGTTCTACATAGATAAAACATACATATATCAGTTATCATTTTTAATATATATATATATATATATATGACCATTTAGAAAATAAATAAATAACACTTTTTATTTATTTGTCAAATTTATAATTAAATATGTATAATTATATATTAAATTTTTATGCATCAAGGACAAGCAAACATAAAATTATTTTATATAATGAAAAATTAAAATATTACATATAGATCGACATACATTCTATTAAAAAATTTCTTAATATTTTCACTTTCATTCTAAAAAAAACAATAAAAAAAAAAATTTTCTTGAATAAAAATAAAATATATAATATCTTTAACGTTTTATAAGGACATAAACAAAATAATATACATATATATATATATATATATATATATATATATATATTTATTTATCATCTATAGGGTATATATGTATATATTATGAATATTTGATATATTCAATATATATTATAATAAATAATCTCCTATGAATGACTTGTGAAATTATATATATATATATATATATATGCTTATGAAGAAATAAACAAATTAAGATAAAAAAAATTTGATACATTAATAATTGATATATGAATAATAAAATTGTTACATATATAAATACGTATATTTTATATATTTGCAACAATTTCATTATATTCATTTTCTAGATATTTTTTTGAAAAGCTAAAACCACAAGAGATAAGCCTGAACAGTTCGCAAAACAAGTTTGCTCACATGTTTACAGCACTCTGAGGCTAAAAATGTCGTCTACAATATTACTTTAATACAATTTTTGTTGTTAAATTACAATGAAAAGAACATGTTTTTCCTTATTTATAAAAAAACAAAAAAAGAAAAACATAATTCTTCATAGGATTATTTATATGTTTATGAAAATCTATACATAATATATATAGATTAAAGCATATATTAAATTTCTCTTTTATATTGGCATTAAAAAAAAATAAAACACAACCTTATAACAAAAATATTCAATAATAATATTGTCTAATCAGTATGGGTTCTGACTTAAGAGGCGTTCAGTCATTATCCAACAGACTTAGCTTCGCAACACTGGTTTATCAACCAATTGCTGTACCAATTGTCTGAACCAACTAATCCTCTCGTACCAAGTTGGATTACTGTCACAATATTATATATATATATATATATTTAATATATAATAATATTCATCAGTAGGGTAAAACTAACCTGTCTCACGACGGTCTAAACCCAGCTCACGTTCCCTATTAGCGGGTGAACAATCCGACACTTTGAGACTTCTGCGTCCCAATGATAGGAAGAGCCGTAATCGAAAATACAAAAAGCTACGTTGCTAATATCGCTAAGCAGCCACAAGCAAGTTATCCCTGTGGTAACTTTTCAGACACATTTATATGCACAGTAATAAATAATTTACATCATTTTGCAAATATAAAGGATCGATAGGCCACGCTTTCACGTTTTCTATTCTTTCTGAAAATAGAAATCAAACAAGCTTTTCCCCTTTTAGTCTACAAGAGATTTCTGTTCTCCTTGAGCTTATCTTTGGACATCTGCGTTAATTTTTAACAGATGTACCACCCTAGTCAAACTCCCCACCTGACTCTGTCTCCATTAAAAGTGATACACATAAATATATATATATATATAATAGTCATTCACTACATAAATGAATTAGTAAAAAAATTTTAAAAGTAGTGGTATTTCACTGACGTAAAAATATTATTTCCATTTCTACTACCACTTATGCTATAACTATTAAATCTTTTTACAAAGTCAGACTAGAGTAAAGCACAACAGGGTCTTCTTTCCCAACTGATTTTACCAAGCCCTTTCCCTTGGTTGTGGTTTCGCTAGATAGCAAGTAGGGACAGTAGGAATCTCGTTAATCCATTCCTGAAGGTCCTTTTTATAGACCATACATTTTGGCTACCTTAAGAGAGTCATAGTTACTCCCGCCGTTTACCTGCGCTTAATTGAATTTTTCATCAACTTAACATTCAAAGCACTGGGCAGAAATCACATTGTGTTAATACCAGTTATGGCTTTTCACAATGCTATGTTTTTATTAAACAGTCGGATTCCCCTTGTCCGTTTCAGTTCTGAATAAACACAGTTATACAATATTACATAATTTTTATTATAATAATTGCTTATCATAATATAAAAAAAAAATGTAATATCGAAGAGAAAAAAAAAAAAAAAAATGAAGAAAAGAATTAAAGAAGAAATCTAAAACATTTTAACATATTAAATATATAAATAATTAATCTTAAAATATAAGAAAAACTAATATATATAAATAATCATCTTAACATTTTTATTTTCAACCCCAATTCTTTTCTTCTTTTTCTTCTCATTTATGTTATCAGAGCCAATCCTTTTCCCGAAGTTACGGATCTAATTTGCTTACTTCCCTTACCTACCTTTTTCTATTTAACCAGAGGCTACTAACCTTGGAGACCTGATGCGGTTATTGGTACGTTCATCATAATTGTAAAATAAGAATATAAAAAAAAAAATGCTTAATGTAGAATACTATAGAAATATAAAAGAAAAAAGAAAAAAAAATAATAATAAAAAAAAGCTGAAGGTTAATATTTTTTTTATTTCATTCTTTTTTTTTTGTCCTTTCATACTTTTATAGTATTTTTACATTCCCATTTTAATTTAGTGTTCCCTCCTTTTTTCATGGATAGTCCTTACAACTTTGGATAATTCGTAAAACAAACAAATTACTATTACTACAAAACAAAATATTTATATATCTTGTGTACCGGTCCACACATATAATAAATATATTGTTTATTGTAAATTCATCAAACCTTTTCTACAAGTAAATTGATTTCCAAGGTTTGGATATAAAGGTAAAGTGCAAAGATAACGCACTCCAAGCGTAAGGCCTATGTTAAGGAGTTCATTTATATATATGTTACCATCTCTATTTATTAGTTCTTATTACTTTTGGCGCAGGAATATCAACCTGCTTCCCTTTCGAGAAGAGAGAAAACACTAATATACTTTTCATATAATAGATAACCTCAATTTATAACGCTTTTCAGCTATCTCTTAGGAACGGCTAACTTTTGCTCAAACATAGTTCACAAAAAACCCTTCTCCACTTCAGTCTTCAAAGTTCTCATAAGAATATTTGCTACTTCCACCAAGATCTGCACTAGGGAAATGTTCCACGAAAACTCACGTATTTCGCTTCAACACAAACCCCACGATTTTCTACTCATAAAAAGAATCTAAAAAAAAATATATTTAATTTTTTTTTTTTTTTCCTTTTTATGGCTTGGTATCGGTAATCCGCTTTAGCGCCATCCATTTTCAGGGCGAGTTTATTCGGTAGGTAAGTTTTTACACATTTCTTAGCGGATTTCAACTTCCATGAATACCGTCCTACTGTAATCACAAACCAACACCTTTTTAATGGTATCTAATGAGCGAATATTTAGGCACCTTATCCAAGCGTTAGGAGCATCCCTCATCGCCAGTTCTGCTTACCAAAATTGGCCAACTTGGAGTTATTTTATTTAATATGAGCGAAATACAAAATTCAGTTATTTCTCCCTTTTTACCTATTGGGAGTTTGAGAATAGGTCAAGGAAAACGATTTCCTTGATTCCTCTAATCATTATCTCTACCTGGTAAAATTATATTAGTCAACTCCAGCGATCCTAAGGGATCTTTCGAAAATAACCAGCTAATAGGCTTTTCGATTAGTCTTTCGCCCCTAAACGCAATTGAAATGAACGATTTGCACGTCAGTATCAACTCGATCCTCCATCAGATTTTTAATCTGACTTCAATCTCATCACGTTTAGTTCAAAGCCTCTCGGGTCCTAACAAATATGCTCTTACTCAATAAAGCATAATTGCTTACCGGTATTTGTATGCAAAGTGGGGAGATTTTAATAATATAAAAACACCACAATTCTACAATTAATATACATATTGTTACATTAATTATGCGTATAAAATTTTATACTATGTTTATTCTTATCATATACACTTGCACATTTGTTAGACTCCTTGGTCCGTGTTTCAAGACGAGTGGGTTAAAAAAGTACTTTATAAAAACATCTTAAACTATATTATTTACAATATATAATAAAAGCACAATATAATTTTCATAATCCTCAGTAAATTAAATAAATGAATCTTTCATATTTTTCTTTTTTTCTCCCTTCATAAAAGAAAAAAAGAAAAAAAAAGCAAGTTATATTTTTCTACATTAGCTTAGAAAAATAGTCAATAAGGAAAAAAAAAAAAAAAAAAAAAAAAATAAATAAAACAAAATAAAATAAAATAAAATAAAATAAAAAGGAAAAAAATGAAATGAAATTCAATTAATTCTTTTATTTTATTCCATTTTAATTTATATATTTATTTATTTATTTTTTTTTTTTTTTTTTTTTTTATTTCTTATTACTGTGGTCATTTTGCTTTACGATTATTTATTTTCTTTCACTGATGTTTCTTTTAATAAGAACATATATTATGAAAGACAACTTTTGTATCATTTTTATCTTACCTAAAAAAAAAGGATAAGAATAAAAATGAATTTTATAACAAAAGTTTCAAAAAAATTCTTTTTAAAAAAAGAAAAATTTTGTTTTGATACTTGAATATCAACATCCTTTTCAGGACTCCATTCTTTATTGCGCGCACCAAAATCTCTCATTATAATATGTTGTTACTTTTTTCCTTTTTTAATCCGTTCCATCTTAACGATTTCAGGTACTATTTAATTGCTCATTCATGAGTACTATTTCATCTTTCCCTCACGGTACTTGTTTACTATCGGTTTCTTACAAATATTTAGCTTTATGTGAAATGTATCACACGAATTAGTGCTCCAATCTCAAAGAACACGACTCAAAAAAAAAAACATACCAATAGATCAGTTTTATGATTAAAAATACGGGTCTTTCACCCTCTATGGAGAGATATTTCTATCTACTTCTTCTCATTCTCACATTATAAAAAAGAACTCTTGGTATGTTTTTCAACTTGACAATTCCAACAAATTGCGGGTAGCTATCTGTCGGATTTTCCATGTTGAGCTCTTCTTTGTTCACTCGCCGTTACTAAAAGAATCATTGTTATTTTCTTTTCTTCCGCTTAATAATATGCTTAAGTTCAGCGGATTTGCTTTCTTATATTAATAAACCCTTTCCATAATATATATTAATATAAATTATAACACGTTTAAATTACAACACTTAAATAAAAAAAAAAGTATATAATGAGAAAAATAAATTAATATAAAAAAAAAACTATGTATAAAAAAAAGCTATGCATAAGAAAAGAAGACTATGTATAAAAAAAAAACTATGTATAAAAAAAAACTATGTATAAAAAAAAAACTATGTATAAAAAAAAAACTATGTATAAAAAAAAAACTATGTATAAAAAAAAAACTATGTATAAAAAAAAAACTATGTATAAAAAAAAAACTATGTATAAGAAAAGAAGACTATGTATAAAAAGAAGACTATGTATAAGAAAAGAAGACTATATATAAGAAAAGAAGACTATGTATAAGAAAAGAACACTATATATAAGAAAAGAAGACTATGTATAAGAAAAGAAGACTATGTATAAGAAAAGAACACTATGTATAAGAAAAGAACACTATGTATAAAAAAAAAAAACTATGTATAAGAAAAGAACACTATGTATAAGAAAAGAATACTATGTATAAGAAAAGAACACTATGTATAAAAAAAAAACTATGTATAAGAAAAGAACACAATGTATAAAAAAAAAACTATGCATAAAAAAAAAACTATGTATAAGAAAAGAACACTATGTATAAGAAAAGAACACTATGTATAAAAAAAAAACTATGTATAAAAAAAAAAACTATGTATAAGAAAAGAAGACTATGTATTAGAAAAGAAGACTATGTATTAGAAAAGAAGACTATGTATAAGAAAAGAAGACTATGTATTAGAAAAGAAGACTATGTATTAGAAAAGAAGACTACATGTATTAGAAAAGAAGACTATGTATAATAAATGAAGACTATGTATAATAAATGAAGACTATGTATAAAAAAAGAAGACTATGTATTAGAAAAGAAGACTACATGTATTAGAAAAGAAGACTATGTATAATAAATGAAGACTATGTATAATAAATGAAGACTATGTATAAAAAAAGAAGACTATGTATAAAAAAAGAAGACTATGTATAATAAATGAAGACTATGTATAATAAATGAAGACTATGTATAAAAAAAGAAGACTATGTATAAAAAAAGAAGACTATGTATAAAAAAAGAAGACTATATGTAATAACAAGAAATTATGTATATGAATAATTTATTTTTTACTTTTTATTTTTTACTTTTTATTTTTTATTTTTTACTTTTTATTTTTTACTTTTTATTTTTTTTTTATTGTTTATATAAAAACATTTACTATAAACAAGTTCAGCGAATGAATCCGTGAAAAACAGAAATTAAAAAAATATATGCATAAATTATTATGAAAACATAAAGAAACAAAAAAAAAAACTATATAATCTAAGAAACATAAAATAATATACTGCCTTTATAAGAACAGTAAAAAAATTATATATTAAATCTTTCCAAAATATTAAAAAAACTATATATCCTGAAAAGTACATCAAAATAAATTATATCCTCAAAAAAATATTGATCGCATTAAATCTTTTCAAGAACATTAAAAGAAATCTATATTCTTTCAAAAAACATAACTAACAAATATATAATTTCAAGACATATATATGATTAAAACTATATTCTTTCAGAAATATCAAAATAAATTAAAAGTTTTGGAAAAACAATATTAAGATAAAACTTTTAAGGGCAATATTTCTTAAATATATATATTACTTTTCTTCATAACATTTAATCTTCCATAGAATCTTCTATACCAATATAAATAAAAAAAGTTCTTTATATTATATACATGAGGGGTTTTGTATATATAGTATAAAAAAATTTCATATGTATATAAGGTTATATATATATATATATATATATATATATATTTAGAATTTCCAATAATATTCTTGGGGTTTAGAATATAATAAATTTTCTAAATATATACTCTTCTCTCATTTTCCATATAGGTCTTTTGTTTTTCTTCAATTCATTTATAATATATTGCTTATGTGTATTTTACCTATAACAATCTGTTTTTCTTCATTATCATATTTGTGTGATTCTATTTAACAATATAATTTCTTCATGTACTTTTTATATTTCCATACACATTCCATATATGTAGTTCTGAGCATAACAATATTATATGTATCTAATAAAATATCTTGAAAAGGCTTATTGTATATAACTTTTTACGCAGTTATTATTTCTCTTTCACATTATATATATATATATATTTTTTTTTTCCTGTTTTGTTAGTTCTGAGATTATAGTATCTGAATTATATGGCTTCCTTAATTCTGAGGCATTTTTAGTTCTGAGTTTTGAGGCCTTGGGAATCTTCTTCGTAGTTCTGATTACTATAAGCACTGAACTATATTTCTGTTTAGTTCTGAGCTTGCCTTATTAGTTTTTATAATGTGTTTCTTCTATATATATACTTGGTCTATATAATACCTTTTCTTTTAATCTTTCTCTACTTATCGCAATTAATTTCTTCTATAAACCATTTAGACATTGGTATATATAAAAAATAAATTAAAATAAAGCTTCTTCTTCATACACATATATATATATATATTAACGTTTCCTTTTTGATGTCAGTTCTCTTCTTATATAAAAAACCATTAGTTGAATTGGTATATACAAAAAAAAAAAAAAAAAAAAAAAAACTATCATGCTGTTTTCTGCATATCCATATTTATTTAAGATATCTTTGAGTACATCATTTTGTTCTTTCTAGATTTCATTTACTTATTATAATATACCCATATATGTATACATTTCTCTTTCAATTATCTTATGTCTTTTGATATACTCAAGATAACTAATTTCTCTTTGTTCTACACACCTTTTTATTCATTTTTGTCTTATATACGTCTTATTTCTGTTGTAATATCATCATTTCCTTTCTTCATAGATCCTATTATATATGATAATAATACTTAAAGGTAACCTTATTTTTAACTGTTCTTCATCTTCTTTTTCTTCGTGGTCTTCAATTTTTAATTAATCTTTACTACTACCAGTTAAGTTCATAAAAAAAGTTCTTCTTATATATTGACAAATAAAAAGTAACTCCAGTTTTTGACGTTTGAAAGTTATTTATTTTATAAGGTATTATATATATTATCTTATCCTTTCCTTTTAAGCTTCTGAGTGCTAACTTAAAAGGTTTTTTTTTCTGAAATCTTCTTCAAGATAATAAGAAATTTTAAATACATATCATATTGTTTTTTTTTTTTTATCTTTATCAAATGTTGTAAGACGTAATTTATATTTAAGATTTAAAGACTCTTAAATAATTTTTCTTTATAGCTATTTTTATTGTTAGATACAATTGTTTTTAACTTAATACTATTCATTCTTTTTTTAATTTTAATTTATTTAAATAAAATCTTTATTTCTTCAAGTAAAATCAATATAACTCTATCCTCTATAAATATTAAATCAATGTTTTCTTATTTTTTCTAGGTTCTTTCAATCAACCCTATATTATTTAACCCTTTCAAATATTATTCTTAGATTCTAATCTATCTATAAATGTACGATTTTATACTTTATAATTTATATAATATTTCTTATCCTTTTATATAATCCTTTTACTTTTAAAACCATTCTATGTTTTTATTTATATGCATATCTTATAATATATAATTCTCAAAATGTCATTTTATGGAATTTATTATAATTTACACATATTTAATTTTTAATTATAAAAATATGTTTCACTTTTTACATTTGCATCATTACTATAAAAGTATATAGTAAAGAATAAAAAAAAAATTTAATATATATTATATGTATAAAAAAATAAGAAAAAAAAAAAAAAAATATACATATATATATATATTATATGTATATATATTATATCTATAGGTATAAAAAAATATAAAAATGAGAAAAAATATTATATTTTAATATGAAAAAATATTATATTTTAATATGAAAAAATATTAAAAGGTTAAAAAAAAAAAATAATATATTTAGATATTAGTAAATATGAAAATACCAAAAGGTAAAAAGAAAAAAAATAATATATTTAGATGACTAAATATAAAATGGTGAAAAAAAAAAATAATATATTTGGATATTAGTAAATATGAAAATACCAAAAGGTAAAAAAAAAAAAAAAATAATATATTTAGATGACTAAATATAAAAAGGTGAAAAAAAAAAAATAATATATTTAGATATTAGTAAATATGAAAATACCAAAAGGTAAAAAAAAAAATAAAATAATATATTTAGATATTAGTAAATATGAAAATACCAAAAGGTAAAAAAAAAAATAAAATAATATATTTAGATATTAGTAAATATGAAAATACCAAAAGGTAAAAAAAAAAAAAAAATAATATATTTAGATGACTAAATATAAAAAGGTGAAAAAAAAAAATAATATATTTAGATATTAGTAAATATGAAAATACGAAAAGGTAAAAAAAGAAAAAAAATAATATAATTAGATATTAGTAAATATGAAAATACGAAAAGGTAAAAAAAAAAAAAAATAATATATTTAGATATTAATAAATATGAAAATACGAAAAGGTAAAAAAAAAAAAAAATATATTTAAATATTAGTAAATATGAAAATACGAAAAGGTAAAAAGAAAAAAAAGATTATATATTTAGTTATGAGAAAATAGGAAATAAGAAAAAAATATACAGTTATAGCTATGAGAAAATGAGAGAAAAAAGAAGATTATATATTTAGTTATGAGAAAATAAGAAAAAAGAAAAAATATATATATGTTATAGCTATGAGAAAATAAGAAAAAAAAGAAAAAGAAATAGAAGCAGAACAAAATATATATGTTATAGCTATTAGAAAATGAGAAAAAAAAGAAGATTATATATTTAGTTATGAAAAAATAAGAAAAAAGAAAAAATATATATATGTTATAGCTATGAAAAAATAAGAAAAAAGAAAAAATATATATATGTTATAGCTATGAAAAAATAAGAAAAAAAAAAAAAAAGAAATAGAAGCAGAACAAAAAAAATATATATATATATATATAAAATAATATAGAAATTTATAAAGGAATGTAAAAAAATATATATATAATATAACAGAATATAATATAAAATAAAATATATAAGATAGAAAAAATATATACTCACTAATATAAATATTAGTAAATATATAATGTGTGGTGTAATTTAAACGCATTGCAACTTATAAAATTTTAAATTATGTACTATGATCATTCAATATAAGAATTCCTTTTTCAATCCTCGTAAAAGGATAAAGGTATAGTTTATATTCAGCATTCTGATGATACACAGTAATTGCAATTTTCATTGCTTATCGCATTTTGCTGCGGCCTTCATCGCTGTAAGAACCAAGACATCCGTCGTTAAGATTATGCTAAAATTTTCTAACCGTCCATTATAAATATATTTAAATATATTTATACATATTTAGGATAGAAAATGTAGCTTTTATACATGATTATATTATTAAATATACAATGTAAAATGTTGATAATAAATAAAAAATTGTTTATATATAGTATATATATATATATTTCTTATTCATATATTATGTAATATATACACATATCCAATTTCTAAATCAAATTCATATAAGTGATGTTATGTTATAAATCATTTTCATTAACTTAATACTTTAATAAGATTTTTTTAATTAAAGTATTCTTTCTATTTTTTCTTCAAATAAACTTTCATCTCCATATAAAATGAAAATTTAAATGATATGGTCTATTTATTTTAAATATTTTATGTAGCATTTTTTTTTCTCTTTTTTTAAAATTTATTTAAAAAAGAAAAAATTAAATAACACTAAAATGTTATCTTTAAATATATATAACTAAAATTAAACCCTAAATATATATATATATTTACATGGAGGTTAAATATTATAAATGATAATAAGGAAAGTAGGAAAAGAAATTATACTTGAAATTGAAATGGTTGCCTTTTGATTTTTCACAAAAGTATTTTTAAAAATTTTTACATTATTTATTTTTAAAAGAAAAAAATAATTTTAATATTATAATTTATTTATTATGCTATAAAATAAAAATTTTATAGTTTTTAGTTGGTTAATTATAAAAAATAAAAAAAAAAAAAAAAAAAAAAAAAAATATAAAAAAAAATAAAAATATAAAAAAAAATAAAAATTAAAATAAAATAAAGATAAGCATATTATATGTAATAATAAAAAAAAATTCTTAATAAATATTATTAATAGTTATAATAAAATTATTATTGTTAATATAAAAAAAAAATATATATATATATATTGATACATAAAAAATTAAAAAAAAAATAAAGTTATTGATTTTTATGTTCCAATATATTATATTCCAAGGTTTATATAATAAACAATTATGTTTCTTCATAGATTTTCATTCATTCAATAAATCCAACCTTCTTCAATATTTGAATATCCATCTTCACATATATATATATATATATACTAATATATACTATTATTTATTTGTCTTGTCACTGTTCCTCCGCAATATCGTTATTTAATCTTCAATATATCATTATTAATATAATAATAATGTAGCGTCATTTTTATTTGTATAACTGTACATATTTATTCATGTAACACATTTAATTATAAATTTAAGTTTTATTAAAAAAAATTTTATTCATGTAACACATTTAATTATATATTTAGTCTTATTAAAAAAAATTTTATTCATGTAACACATTTAATTATATATTTAAGACTTATTAAAAAAATATTTATTCATTTATTCACGTAATTATTAATTATAAATTTAAGACTTATTAAAAAAATATTTATTCATTTATTCACGTAATTATTAATTATAAATTTAAGACTTATCAAAAAAAATATTTATTCATTTATTCACGTAATTATTAATTATAAATTTAAGACTTATTAAAAAAAATATTTATTTATGTAATTATTAATTATAAATTTAAGACTTATTAAAAAAAATATTTATGTAATTATTAATTATTTATTTAGACAGACATATATATTTCTTCTTATTTTCAACAATAAATATACACAACATGATATGAAAATATAAACAATCACTATTTATACTACATTTTATACTAACATAGATTCTATATATTATATTTTAATTATTCACTTAAAATACAATATAATCAAACATAAAACTCAATTTACCTCTTTACAATAGGCAAATGTATTTTTTTTTATATGCAACACTATAACACAGGCATAAATGAAATGTATAAAAAAGCATAAAACGTCATGTATATGAAAACGTTTATTTTTATAAGTTAAAAATTGTATATACACATATATAAGGTTTTCTTTTATTTTTTCTTTTATTTTTTCTTTTATTTTTTCTTTTATTTTTTCTTTTATTTTTTCTTTTATTTTTTCTTTTATTTTTTCTTTTATTTTTTCTTTTATTTTTTCTTTTATTTTTTCTTTTATTTTTTCTTTTATTTTTTCTTTTATTTTTTCTTTTATTTTTTCTTTTATTTTTTCTTTTATTTTTTCTTTTATTTTTTCTTTTATTTTTTCTTTTATTTTTTCTTTTATTTTTTCTTTTATTTTTTCTTTTATTTTTCTTTTATTTTTTCTTTTATTTTTTCTTTTATTTTTTCTTTTATTTTTTCTTTTATTTTTTCTTTTATTTTTTCTTTTATTTTTTCTTTTATTTTTTTTTTTATTTTTCTTTTATTTTTTTTTTTATGTTTTTTTTTATGTTTTCTTTAATTTTTTTTTTTATTTTTTCTTTAATTTTTTCTTTAATTTTTTCTTTAATTTTTTCTTTAATTTTTTCATTATTATAATAACAATTATAAAATGTTTTACCTACATTACCTTCATGCATGTTATTATAAAAATAATCGTGTCTTCTTATAACAAAATAAATGTTATACGTTCTGAATACTCAAACATCAAAAGAATTAACTATAATTACGAGAAAATAGTTAAATCCTTTTAAACGCCAGACTAGACCCTAAAAAAAATCTAAATCTAAAACAAATGTTATCTAAGATAAAAATTAGAAATAATATGGCATATTATACTTAAGAGTAAAATATACATATATTATATATATATTTATGTAAAAAATTAAAATCATTAATTAAACACAAGAAAAAAAAAAAAAACGCAGTTTATCCATTTGTATATATGTACACACATGTAAATAAACAAACAAATACATTTAATTCATTATTATATGTTTCCATATAATAAAACACAAATAAATTATAAGTAAAATTACAATTTATTCAATACCCATAATAGAAAGACATTTTTCTAAAGCACCAAACTGATTATAAACGTGCTTTAGAATTTTTGAATAGTTTTCTGTATTTCCCTATGTGCATATTGGCTGCTCCTGTGCCGCTTTCTGTATCAGTTTTGCACATTTTTTTTGTAGCTCTCCTCTCTATGTTCCTCTGTGTTCGCCCCATGTAACCCTATTCCCCGTACTCAGGTACCCATGTACCCTGGTACTGACGTACACCTGTACTTCTGTATTCCCCTGTGCCTGTACCCCTATTCCCCGTACTCAGGTACCCATGTACCCTGGTACTGACGTACACCTGTACTTCTGTATTCCCATGCGCCTGTACCCCTATTCCCCGTACTCAGGTACCCATGTACCCTGGTACTGACGTACACCTGTACTTCTGTATTCCCATGCGCCTGTACCCATGTGCCTGTGCCCCCGTACTCGTGTACCCATGTACCCCGGCATTTCTGTATCCCCGTACTCATGTATTCCCATGCGCCTGTACCCATGTGCCTGTGCCCCCGTACTCATGTACCCATGTACCCCGGTACTTACGTACTCCTGTACTTCTGTATTCCCATATGCCTGTACACATGTACCTATACCCATATACCCCCATGTACCCATCTTCCTATTTCCCCACCTCATATATGCATCTTTAACAAATACATATATGAGGTTCCTTTTATATATAATGTCATTACCTTTTATAATGACATTATATATACGTAGTCTTTTTCATGATTATTTAGTACCAATTATATCCGCCCTAGTACCATCCACACACATATATATATGCATAAATAATCTCACTATTATTATACTTTTACCTATATCCTACATCCCTTTATAGTTAACCAACTACATGACTTTCATACATACCATACCATATTAGTATATATGTTGCAAAAGAAAAATAAACCAGGGTTTTTTTTTCTAATGCTATGTTCAACGTCATAAACGATTTAAAATGTGGTTGGAAGAGGTATAATCCTACTACTTATATTTAATAAAATATAATAGAGTGGATTATGTATAAATATGATGTTCTGTTTAAAACAGAAAAAGTATCATAAATTTTTTTACTCTTCTATTCTAAAGTTGTACATATTACAAACTATAAGAAATTATACCATCATTACCGAATATTCTTTATTACTACTAATATATATTATGTTACACTACTACTAACTGTTATATTAACATAATACACCAGCTGTTATTTTTTCATATAATTAACTATATAATTTTAAGAAAAAATAACAAACAGTGATATATAAATGCTATCAATATTCGCAGGTAAATAATATTTATATTCGCAAATAAATATTTACATATAATATATATATAACACAAAATAAATATAAAATCATACATCTATTTTGATATATATATATATATATACATAAACCCTTTAAGGCATACGCTAAACCTTAAAAAAAAATTTATTTATTGAACATACCGACTTCCTGTTGAATACTACTAATATATAATTTATTCTCATTTTTATTTTCTTTTTTTTTTACTCAATACTACTAATTGAAATTTCACGTAAAAATGTACTAAAAATATAATACATTTTTTCATGTTTTCAATATTCGCATATATAAGAAAAAAAAAAAAAAAAATTAATTAAAATAAATTATTTACATTCGCAAACAACTCGAAGAATAACATACAATTTGATAAAAAGACTACTAATTATATATACATATATATATGTGTGTTTTATATATAAGAAACGTTTATTTTCCTTAATAATAAAAACTCAAATGTAGTTATTCTCCACCTCTCTTGGCGCGTTATACCCACGAGGCTTTTTATAAGTCAAAGGGAGAACGTCATTCCTTATACAGTTGATGTTTTTCATATTATAAAAAATCACTCTATAATGCCAATATACATAAAAAGTATCATAATGATAAGTTTTCACTACATCATTATAATATATATATGTATAATTGTTAAAACAAAATAAATCAACCTTAAAGCACATCCTAGATTTATTAAAAAAATAAAAATAATAAATTATATATTATCCATTTTTTTTAACAAACTAGATATATTTATATCCGTTATATAAATATATGTAATGCACCCCACCCTTTATTGGCACGTCCACAGCCTATATAAGGATTTCAATAATTATTAAAAATAATTATATCGTTTCTATTGCTCAACCGATTTACTCTTGTACTGCATTTTTATTAATCACCTCTATAATAGTATATATACAACATGCTATAAAATATAACCACATAATATATATACACTTATATATTGATTAATTAAGAAGTAACCTGCAAAATATTCCTAAGAAATATAGTGAGGATATTTTGATCAACACAGGAAAAGATCAAAATATTTTCATTACACCTCTACCTTTAAAGGCTCGTAAAACCTTTACAAGGATTTTAAAACAAATGGGTACACCACCACCACCATGTTTAACCTACTATTCTGAACAGGCACATACAACTTTTCACATATAAATTTCATAATAGTAAATATGCCCTATAAAATAAACTTATAGTATACACACTTACTACTATGAAATCTATTCAGAGATAACTCAACCTAATATTTCTTACGAAATAAAAGATATCTATATATTCATCCTCTTGAACGGTAATGAAACCGAACAATCAAAATATATTCACTTTTTCACCTTGAAAGGGGCGTAAAACCTTTAAAATGGCAAAAAAAAAAATTAGCTACATATACGTTAACTATCATGTATTTCACACAATATTAATTATATACTTAATAACATTATACCTTTCCCTATTATCTTTACGTAATATATTATATAACTCAGAAATTATCATATATATATATACACAATATATATATATATATATATAATATTAGCAGAATTATTTGCTCTATACAATTATTAGTAATCATGAACACTTATTTGTTACATTTATTTACACAGAATAAAAGGGGGCAGTTTAAATATTATTTTATGGAATTTTTATCATAAATTTAACATTCAGCTCTATAGACGTTAATTTATTATATAAAACAACCACATTTTATTTTTTATGGATAAAAACCTTTGATCATACATATATATTTCACATATACTGTATATCTCTCCATACTCAACTTTTATATAATTCATTCTACAATATTATATGTTGATTTATTTATTTCATAAACTTTTTCTTTCTTATCAAAGAATCCAAAGAACAGAAATTTTTAATGAAAAAGGGAAATTTTATGAACAAAAGAGTGAATTAATTAAATATTAAAAAATTAAAAAAGAAAATAAAAATTCAAAATATATTTTTTTTTTTTTTTTTATATATATATTATAATACTTCATCGAAACACACTAATTGGATTTATTTGTGATATTTCTTCTCTTTTTTCACAAGCAGATGCACAGTACCAATTGGGTTTATTTATTTAAAAATAGGATATATTCTTTTCTAAATACCTACGTTTCAGAACATTTACTTGATTAAAAACATATTTTTAAAGTATGCCCATGCTAAGATATACGCACGAAATTTTTATGACGTGATATAGGCATAATAATATAAAATTTTATTTATCATATATATATATATATATATATATATATATATATATATATACAAAAAAATTAAAAAACTAAAAGCACATATATATACAATAAGATAAAAATAAAATTTTACATAAATAGAATTTTCTATTTAATAAGAATACATATGTATACCTCAAAAATAAAGTATAGAAATAACAAAAATATTTAATAAATCATATATATAATATAAATGATACAAAAAGGTGCAACACAAGAAATATATATATATATTATATATTAATTATTTCTTACATGTTACATGATTAACTATATATATATAAAGTTACAAGAGTAAGAAATAGAAATACATGGAATATAAATTTGCTCATCAAAATTATTTTATTTTTTTTTTTTTTGTTATAAAAATGTTCATTAATGAAATAAACAATTTCTTTTTAAAATTATATATATATATATATGCATATCTATACAATGCTTTTTATATTTGATATATCTTGCTACTTCTTTATTTATATATTTATTCATTATTTTTATTTTTATTATTTTACTTTATCTTACTTTTTTTTTTTTTTTTTTTTTTTTGTGTG